AAAAAAAAAATCCTATAAATTCAGACTTAGAGAAGATTGAAAGCAAGGACTGTGCCTGTGCTGTTTAGCTAGGCCCACTCGCAGTTTATATTTTGGCCCCTTGCTTTATTGCACCCTCCTTCTGCATGAGTGTGAACAACGCACTCACTGGCTCAGAGTACAGCTCCCAGGACGTGCTCTTACATAACCACAGAATCATTATTAAAATCAGAGAACTGACATTCGTTGCAATACAAGCCCATAGTCTGTATTCAAATTTTCATCAGTTGTCCCAGCTTAAGGGCATTGAGTTCATGCAATATTAAAATGCAAAAATTAAAATTTGCAACAATTGTGAAACAGAAGATTATGAAATGAAAAGAAATTTTAAGGATCATGTATAAGGCATTAATGTAGAACAGAGATTATGGGAATGACTGTGAAAGTTTCCAGGATACATGACACTAACTAATTTAATAAAATTAAGTATTCTTGGAAAAATCTGACATTACGATGTAGGAACAGAGGCCAGCTTCATGTATTAAAGTAAACTAGTTTAACTCTCATACATATTTTTCTTTATTTTGAAAAAGAACCTAGTAAAATACTAGCCATTGAAGATAAATTATCTAAAAATTTGCTATTTTAAAATTAAATGCAATAATATATGTATTTTTCTTTTTAAAAATTATTTTTAAAGAGAATACAAAATGGTAAAAAAAATCTAAACAATATAGAACTTCACTAAACAAAATAATAGGAATTCAGCAATGCTTGTTGTAGTGCATAATGTTATCCTCAAAATAGTTGTGTAGAGTACCGGACTTACACATGTAAAATAGGTTTGAAAGTTATAAGAAATTAAAAAGAAGAAAAAAATTAAGCATTAACTTCTTTCAAAAGACCATTAGAAATCAGTAGTACAATTATCCAAGCTGTTCCATTTTATACATAAATATATCTTTTCCCCTTCTTTATTTTGTTCTTTTCTTCATTCCAGTTTTTCCTTCCCTTTGAATAGATTCTTCCCCTGTCATAGAATCTATTGTATCTTTCAGATTGTATTTACTTTCAGGTTTTTATACTAGCAAGACAATACAATGTTTGTACATGTGGTATGATTTATTTCACTTGCCAGTATGGTCTCTAGTAAATGCAGCCATTTACCTATAAAATCCTTGAGTTAATTTTTTTATAGCTAAGTAATAGTCCATGATGTAAAAAATATCACATCTTTTTTTATCCATTCCTCAGTTGGTGGGCATTTTGGTTGCTTCCAAAATTTAAATATGACAAATTGTGCTGCTGTAAATATGAGTGTACATAAATCACTGTGGTATAACATTTTCAGTTCATTTGGAAAAACACCCAAGACGAAAATAGCTGGGTTGAATAGGACCTTGAATCCTGGTTTTTTTGAGGAATCTCCACACTGATTTCCATAGTGGTTGCACTGGTCTACACTCTTGCCAAGAGTGCGCATGGGCTCATTTTCTTCCCCACAATCCCTCCAGTAGTTATTGGTTGACTTCTTTTTGATAGCCATTCTTTCTGGGGTAAGCTGGAATCTCAGTGTTGTTTAATTCACATCTCTTGAATGATGAATGGTGTTTAAAATTTTTTCATACATTTATTTGCCATTTGTAGTTCATTTGTGAAGTGTATATTCATCACAGATGCTCTTTTTTGATTGGGTCTTCAAATTTGGGGGATCTGATTTTTTAAAAATTCTTTATGTGTTTTAGATAGAAGTCCTTTGTCTGAAGGACACAGTCTGCTAAAACTTTTTCCAAAATCAAAGGTTTTCTTTTCACTTTATTAGTGATTTCTCTTTTTTT